TATTCTAGTTTGTTGATGCTTGAAGTGACAACCAAATGCAATCTGTGGTTCTTGGTAGGATCCTGGTTTGAACAAACTGTCTGAAAAGACAGCTAAAAACAGAACAGCTATGTGCCTTCATAGCATATGCTTAATCAGGAATCACTGTTCATCAGCACATGGCTATTCCCTCCTTTTGGAATATACTTGCCCTTTTTTCTGCCTGGAACCTACTATTCTTCCTTCAAGTCCAAGATAAAAAATTACTGCCTGGGTGAACCTTTCCCCATTCATCCCCCCGACAGAATATGATAGTTCCTCTTCTGGTTTCTCACTGGATTCTAGTTATTTTCAGATTTCATTATAATTATCTGCTTCTTATAACTGTTTTTCTTCTTTCCCATTTGCTTGCCTTCCTCTCTAAATTTCACTGGCTGGTGTGACTCAGCTGTTGAGCATTGACCTAGGAACCAAGAGGTTGCTGGTTCAATTCCTGGTCAGGGCACATACCCCGATTATGGACAAAATCCCTGGTAGGGGCCATGCAGAAGGCAGCCGATCAATGATGTTCTTCTCTCATTGATGTTTATATCTCCCTCTCCCTTCCTCTCTATCTAAAAATCAATAAAAAATAAATTATGAGATACTCAAAAGCAGGTACCATTTTTAAATTTCATGTGTGTATTTATAGTCCCTGGTAATTCAAAACATTGGTAGAACGCTCCATATAAAAATCTAATATCTGTTCAATAGAACTGTACAATATAGAAAGAAGAAAAACATAAATCGGAGGAAAAGTAAAAAGGGAAAAACTGAAGGCATACCTCATGTACTGGCTTCAGTTTGGAGATAATTTTACTTAATGGGACATTAGGTAGCAGATGTAAGGCCCAAAAAGAGCTAAACTGTGGGATATTTTCAACTTCCATGGTTCTTTCAAGTCCTAACTTCCTCTCTTGCCGGCAAGCTCTAATTCTACAGTCTCCAACAAAGAGAGGAAAGCAAGTAATAATTCACTCAAGTTGAAATTTAATAAATTACCTGTTCCAAGTGTATTCCAGAGAAAATCTGAACAAGGACCAATGGCAAACCCAAAGGATTCGATCAACTGATAAAGTGGCCAATGAATATATGCAGATATTTTGAATGGATTTCCCTCAAATCAAACCATAAGTTTATACTGAAGTATAAGCTATTTTTACATTTAGCATTTGGCAAATCCTTCCACTGTCATAATTTAAAAAAACTCATTGCAGTCTTAACCAGGTGTGTGTGTTTTTCCCCATTATGCTCTACCTGAGCTATAGCATGCCAATCCCTATGGAAATCTGAGTAGATAAGCTATTTTTATAATCTACAAATACTGCTGGCATGAATGATCCACCCACATTTTCCAAAAGGAACTAGCAGTTTAAAAATTGGGCACTGTTTCATCATAATATTGGAGACTCACTAGACAATTTCAATGTTAGGCTTGAAAAACCATTGCCTCAGGGCCAAGAGCCACAGCTAAGAAAGACTACAAGAAAAAAGCTTTCAAGGCTTGGTCCTATGAAAAGGATGCTACTCCTGCTTGGGCCTTTTCAGCCAAACCCGTCCCTTGAACCTCATCAGCACAGCAATGTTAGCAGTCTCGGCTTTGAAGGACAATGACCTTGAATACAGAGAGATGGTGTTTGAGAATGAAAAAGGTGTTTATAGCCCTGGCTGATGTGGCTTAGTTTGTTGGAGCTTCTTCCCATGCACTGAAAGGTCCCGGGTTCGCTTCCTGGTCAGGTGTATATACAGGAGGCAACTGATTGTTGTTTCCCTCTTACATTGATGTTTCTCTCTCCCCTTCTCTCTTCTCTCTCTAAAAAATCAATTTAAAGAAAGTTAAGTTGTTAAAACTTTTTTTTTAGTTTTTCTAAGTTAAAAAAAATAAAAATTTAAAATAAAAAGGTGTTTATAGCTTCATCCCCTCCTTCCTGACAGGAAGGCCAGCGGTTGCTATGTGCATGGTGGTTTTAGAATGCTGGCCCTGAGGTCAAAAGACCTAAGTTTACATTCCGGCTCAGGTGTTTGCTGAATACAGGGCCTTGTGCAAGGATTTACCCTTTCTCTGCCACAGTTTTCTTATCTTAAAAAAAAAAAAAAAAAGATAATATCACCTTCCTTTTAGAATAGGATTAAATGAAATAATCCATTTAAAGTGTTTAGCACTGTGGGATGGGGAGGACAGGAGCAGGCTGGAAGAGTTACAGGGTGGGGGAAAAGGAGGATTTATGTAACACTTTCAACAATAAAGATTTTTTTTTAAAGAATTCTGTAATAACTTTTAAAAAAATGAAGTGTTTGGCACAAGGCTGGAACATGGTACATACCCAAGAGATATCTGTTATAATTAATGATCATTGGTTGTTCATAAGAACCTCAGTAATGCAATACTGAGCCAGATCATGGTCCACTCAGTCTAGTATTTGTCTCTGATGGTGGCAGCAAGGGACATTTGGGGAGAGAAGAGAATGCTCTTTTTTGTTATTACCTCAAATGATTAAAGGTTTATCTGAAAATATTTCTAACATCTTTGACTAACTAAAAATAATATGTCATCATGCATGTATCTATATCATTTTTGTTGTTGTTAATCCTTACCCGAGAATATTTTGCCATTGATATTTAGAGAGAGTGGAAGGGAGGGGGAGAGACAGAGAAAGAAACATCAATGTGAGAGAGACACATAGATTGGTTACTTCCCTGACCAGGGCCAGAGCCTGCAACCAAGATACATGCCCCTGACCAGAATCAAACTCGGGACCTTTCAGTCCGAGGTCCGATGCTCTGTCCATTGAGCTAAACCAGCTAGGGCTCTATATCATTTTTATCTATATTTATATTTGCAACTGGAACTGACTTCTTATATTAAAATACTACGTTCGAAAAGCAAGAGGATACCCCTTATATCTTGTTTTTCAATATTTTGTTAACAAGTCCTTTACCTTATCCTTTAGACTTTTTTTTTTTAATTGATTTCAAAGAGGAAAGAACAGGGAGAGACATCAATGATGAGAGAGAATCATTGATCAGCTGCCTCCTGAACGCCCCCTACTGGGGATCAAGCCTGCAACCTGGGCATGTGCCCTGACTGGGAATGGAACCCAGGACCCTTCAGTCCGCAGGCCAATGCTCTATCCACTGAGCCAAACCAGCTAGGACTTTAGTCTTGGTTTCAGAGTTTTGATTCAGATTTCCCCTATCAGCTTTAATTTCAGAGAATAAAAGAGCTCTAGCTTTCAGCAGTTGATTATCTAGGTTCTAATTTATTCAGTTCAATTCATCATGGATATTTTTTAGTTCCTACTGCAAAGTGCAAAATTGAACATAAAAAATATAAAATGGAGTTTCTGTTTTCAAAGAGCTTAGAGTTTTCTGGATAATAATGAAAACTATGTACCGAGGCAGCTGTAGCCTTGAGATTAAGAGCACTGACTCTGGAGCCAGACTACTTGGGTTCAAATTCTGCCATTATTTTTATGACCTTGGGCAAACTGCTTAAATTCTCTGTACATTGGGTTCCTTATCCGTTAAACAGCTAACAGCATTATCTGGGATTGTTAAAAGGATAAAGAAGTTCTAAATTAAGCACTTAGAATAGCAGCTGGGTGGCACATAGTAAGTACTCAATAAATGGCAACAATTTGAAGTAGGCATTAGAGCTGTTCACAAATATTCCTGTTCTCTCTTCCAGATAGTGGAATGCACTCGTAATAGGATCATATTTGCCTGCCCCCTTTTAAGTGACTGGATAATGAAATGTGAGAAGAAGTGACATGTGTTACCTTGGGGTTGAAGCTTAAACCCAGGACATAATTTGCCGAGTTAATCTTCCCCTGCCATGGTGATTAAGCAAGCTTGTGCTGAGATACACCCTCTGATACTAAGACGTGTGACTAAGTATCACATATCTTGTGACTAAGATGAATACAGCCCCTTGCTAATCCACCATAGACAAGTAGCTTGAATAAGACAGACTATGTTGTGTAAAAGCACCGAGACTTTGGGTTTGTTTGTTGTGTATCTTAACCTAGACCAGTGGTCGGCAAACTGTGGCTGGAGAGCCACATGTGGCTCTTTGGCCCCTTGAGTGTGGCTCTTCCACAAAATACCACATGTGGGCGCGCATGTACAGTGCGATTGAAACTTCGTGGCCCATGCACAGAAGTTGGTATTTTGTGGAAGAGCCACACTCGAGGGGCCAAAGAGCCGTATGTGGCTCGCGAGCCACAGTTTGCCGACCACTGACCTCGACTATTGACCAATACACTATCATTCCATCCACTGGGGACATAGAAGTGAATCAAACTGACGAAAGGCCTGCCCTCTTGGGGTTTCTCAATACAATATCCAAACTACTCTATGCAAACAAACTATTAAGAAAAAGCCAAAATGACTACTTCTTTCTGCCTCCTACAGTGAGAGCTTAGAAATGTTACAAATGAGTCAAAATTGAGACGGAAAGCTAAAGAAGCATCCATACAATGGTCTCATCTTATGTAACTCTTATTACCTCTCAAAATGCACGACACAGATAAACAGCACAGGGATCACATCATACAAACACAACAGGAGCGTGATGGAGCTGAACCTGAGCCTCAGGAGACCTGTGAGCATTTAGTGGCTCTGCCACTCACTGTGTCACTCTGCCCAGTGTGATGAGTTGTCCTTCTTTGTGGGTCCCTCAACAATTAGAAATAATGGCCGAAACCGGTTTGGCTCAGTGGAAAGAGCGTTGGCCTGCGGACTGAAGGGTCCCAGGTTCGATTCCGGTCAAGGGCATGTACCTGGGTTGCGGGCACATCCCCAGTAGGAGATGTGCAGGAGGCGGCTGGTCGATGTTTCTCTCTCATCGATGTTTCTAACTATCTCTCTCCCTTCCTCTCTGTAAAAAATCAATAAAATATATTTAAAAAAAAAAAAAACAATTAGAAATAATGAAATATGATCTCCCTTTCCAGGAGGCAACTGTATGGTAGACATGAGCATCCACTCATTCATGTATTAATTCTTGCAACTGACAAGTAACTATTGACCATCTGCTGTGTCAGAGAACACAGTTCACAGTGACAGGGATGAACAAGACAGACAAGGTCCTGCTCTCCTGCAGCCTACAGGTACTATGGGAGATAGATAATAGATCATCGCAAAGGTTAATCTGACAATGCTGATAGTGGTAAGTGCTTTCAAACAAACAGATATGGTCAGTGTGATGGGAGAATGGTACTTTAGATTGGGTGGCCCTGGCAGGCACCCCTGTGGAGGTGACGCTGACTTTGGGAACACAATAGACACGAAGGAAATCAACCCTCCGAGGACCTGGGAAGAGTGTGCCAGGTAGGATGGCAAGTACAAAGGCACGGCGGCATGGTAGAAGAGCATCAAGAGCCTATAGAAGTGGTGAGAGGTCAGAAAGAGATGGAGGGGTCACTTCACGGAGGCTTCTGTAGGCAGTAAGGAGTTTGCAAGCTCATGGAGTCTTTGAAGCAGAAGAGTGACATAATTCAATTCATAATGTATGTTTAAGGTTGCTGTTTGGAGAGGAATCAATTTGGAGGCAATTTCAATAGTCTAGATAAGGGATTGGACAAGTGGCACCAGAAAAAGGTTTTAGAAAGGTCATAGTTGGATATATTTTGGAAGACAAGTGACAAGGTTCAGAACATGCGACCCCAAAGTATGGCACCTTGGCATACTGAATATTTTAAGCTGAAGGAATCTGAGAAAAAGGCAGATTCAGGAAAGTCTCTCTGGCCTTCCCCCTAGCATGGGAGAGGTGCCCTCCCTATACCCCAAGGAAAGAAACAGCCTATCTATGAGGCGGGATGCCTGGAGGAATCCAAACAACAGGCCTTGCTAAGCTTCCCCCAGTTTATCACCCTTAGCTCATACCCCTTTTTGTCCTATCACATTTTTCCATGACTCTCCATCCTCATCAAACATAGTATTAAAAATGTATAGGTGCCGAAACCGGTTTGGCTCAGTGGATAGAGCGTCGGCCTGCGGACTGAAAGGTCCCAGGTTCGATTCTGGTCAAGGGCATGTACCTGGGTTGCGGGCACATCCCCAGTAGGGGGTGTGCAGGAGGCAGCTGATCGATGTTTCTCTCTCATCGATGTTTCTAACTCTCTATCTCTCTCCCTTCCTCTCTGTAAAAAATCAATAAAATATATTTTTAAAAAAATGTATAGTTTACACCCGGCCGGTGTGGTTCAGTGGTTGAGCATTGACCTATGAACCAGGAGGTCATGGTTCGATTCCCAGGCAGGGCACATGCCCAGGTGGCAGGCTCGGTCCCCAGTGTAGGGCGTGCAGGAGGCAGCTGATCAAGGATTCTCTCTCATCATTGATGCTTCTATCTCTCTCCCTCCCCCTCCCTCTCTGAAATCAATAAAAAAAATATTTTTTTAAATGTACAGGTTTAACTGTTTCTTCAGGACTTCATTTCCTTATAAAGGCTCCCATGTCATATGATATTTATATTAAATAAATTTATATGCTTTTCTCCTGTTAATCTGTCTTTGCCAATTTAGGGATCCAGCCGGGAACCCCAAGAGGGTTGAGGAAAACGTTTTCCTCCTTTACACAAGACAAAAGGATATACTGGTGTGGAAGTTCCTTTCACAATGAAGACTAGAACTAACATATGATCCAGCAATTCCTCTTCCGGGTATTTACCCCAAAAATATGAAAACACTTATTTGTAAAGATATATGTACCTCCATGTTCATTCCAGCTTTATTTACAATAGCCAAGACATGGAAACAACCTAAGAGTCCATCAGTATATAAATGGATAAAGAAAATGTATTATATGTACAATGGAATACTACTCAGCCATAAAAAAGATAGAATACTGCCATTTGTAACAATAGGGATGGATCTTGAGGGTAATATGCTAAATGAAATGCTAGACAGCAAAGGACAAAAACCAATGATTTCACTCATGTAGAATATGAAATAAAAAAGTAACAAATGAACTAACAAAATAAATAAAAACAAACTCCAATACAGACATCATTATGGTGGTTACTAAAAGGAAAGGAAGGTGGGAGGAGGGTGAACTGGGTAAAGGGAGTCAAATATATAGTAAAAAAAGGAAACCAGATTTAGGGTTGTGAGCACACAATGGTGTATACAGATAGCAAATTATAATATTGAATGCCTAAAATTTAAATAATGTTATTAGCCAATGTTACCTCAATATGTTTTTTAAAAAAGAGGATGTACGGATATGTTAGATGTGGGAGTAAGAGAAAGACAGAATTAAAGATGATGGAAGATGTTATTTCCTAAAATAGGGAAAGCTGAGGGATGAACATGGTTTGGGGTAAAGATGGGGAATTCTATTTTTGAATGTATTAAATTTGTCAAACCTACTGGGTAGATTTTCAAGAATAATAAATGAGATCATGTATTTTAAAACACCTAATATATAGTAAATGCTCAAAAACAGTTATTTTCTTTCTAAATTTCCTAAATCTCCTAAAGCTAAGTGTCCTAATTTGGAAAAGGGATAATAATATGGATCTTACAGGTTCCTGGTGAACCTTGATTGACTTACTATATGGGAATAGAGATTATTATAACTAACCTGTATGTAGTTCTTATCATGTGCCAAGTGCTTCTGTAAGTGCTACATTTGTTAATTTACTCCTTCCAACAACTCTGTAAGTAAGGTGCTGTTACCTCCATTTTACCGATGAGGAAGTGAGGCGCGGAGTAGAGGTTAAAAAACTTGACCAAGTAAGTCTACACTGGTAGAACGCAAAAGCTGAATAAAATGTAGTATAAAGTGCCCAAATGTATACTGCAGACAATAAATTCAGAAAGAGAAGAGACAGATTACATTGAATATTAAACAAATATTTATTGAGCATCTCATCTGTGCCAGACGGTGGTCTAGGAACCAGAGACACAGCAATGAACAAAACAGACCAAAAACCTGCCATCCTGGGCTCAGCCAAGGAAACGCGATTTGAAGACAGATCCACTTGGGCTTAGCCTAGAAAATGTGTAGGATCTTGCACTAGTCAGTTTTGCTCAGTGGATAGAGCGTTGGCCCCGGGGTATGAAGGGTCCCGGGTTCGATTCCATTCAAGGGCGAGTATCTCAGTTGCAGGCTCAATCCCCAGCCCAGTCAGGGGACGTGTGAGAGGCAACCAATCGATGTGCCTCTCTCACATCAATGTTTCTCCCAGTGTGTCTCTCCCCCTCCCTTCCACTCTCTCTAAAAATCAATGGGAGCCGAAACCGGTTTGGCTCAGTGGATAGAGCGTCGGCCTGCGGACTGAAAGGTCCCAGGTTCGATTCCGGCCAAGGGCATGTACCTGGGTTGCGGGCACATCCCCAGTAGGAGATGTGCAGGAGGCAGCTGATTGATGTTTCTCTCTCATTGATGTTTCTAACTCTCTATCTCTCTCCCTTCCTCTCTGTAAAAAAAATCAATAAAATATATTTAAAAAAATAAATAAAAAAAAAATAAAAATCAATGGGAAAATATCCTCTGGTGAGGATTAACCAAAAAGAGAAAAGTGTGGGATCTGAATACAGAAAGGGGAAAGCTGGGATCAATTGGCAAGTCACAGAGGTCCCTTCAGCACAGCCTGTAACCTGTCCAAGCTAAGAATGTGTTTCACATTTTTAAGAGGAGGAGGAGGAGGAAGAGAAGAAAAAGGAAGTGCAGGAGGAGGGTTGTGAATATGGTGACCTGAACTACCTTGAAGGAGGAGGACATGAAACAATACTGCAGGCAAACAAGACAGACTGTAAAAGGTGCATTTGTTGCCTCTCCGAGAGGCCACGCCGGAGCCTGGGATGGCTGAGAGCAGACACTCCGTGAGGGGGCAGTGGTGAAAGGACAAGAAGAAAGAGAGGCGACACGTGGAGGCAAGGGCTGCTGGAGTTGATTCTTTTTTCCTCTGTAGCTGTTAGGAGGGAGCCCTTAGGAAATTCACAGACTGTTCTAGATTTGGTGCTCACACTTTAACGATATGTGTCCAATCTTAGAAGCACTTAAAGAATAGTGTTTTGATGCATACAAGAGCAGAACTCTAGGGAATAATTTTAAAAGTAACTTTTAAGGAAAATGTCATCCTTTTATAAAAGCTTTGTCCAAGCAACCTTAGAAACTTTTTTTTTTTTTTTTTTTTAGGAGATGAACCATAGCATAGGCCTACTGAGATCTCCAGGTGCAACTTAAGCTGATCTTTGATGCAAAGGAAATATCACTTGTACCCAATCCAAGTTCTGGTCTTTTCTTAGCGTAGATAGGAGGACAATTACATGAGATATAACACAGAAATCAGGAAAATTCTATACATTGTGATATTAAGTAAGGACCTAGTGTTCATGGGAGAATGATAGTCAACTACATCTGTGGTTATTAATTGATACCAGGTAAAACAATTCTGCAACACCTGTTTGTACATATCCTATGGAGGTTAGTACAGCCACTGAACTATAATAATAACCCTAGAACTATTTTATTAAAACTCAGAAAAATAGATTTTTAAGGAATTTGTGCTTAGCATGATTACATTTATTTCTCACTGGTGCAATATTTTTTTAAAATAATTACCTATTTTAAAACACTGTAATAGGGAAAACTACTGTATTAATTTCCTGTTGCTACTGTCATACATTACCACAATCTTGGTGGTATTAAAACACACAAATTTATTCTCTTACAGTTCTGGAGTACAGAAGTCTGAAATGGGTCTCACTGGGCTAAAATCAAGGTGTCAGCAGGCCCGCATTTCTTCTGGAGGCGCAAACCCAATTCCTAGCCTTTTCCTTGGCCTGTGGCCTCTTTCCACCTTCAAAATGAGTAAGTCTTTCTCATGCTATATTACTCTGCCACTGACTCCTTTTCTGCCTCACTTTTCCACTTTTAAGGACTTTGTGATTACCTTGGACCCACCCAGGTAATCCAAAATAATCTCCCTATTTTAAAGTTAGCTAATTAGTAAACAACCTCAACTCATCTGCAACCTTAGTTCCCTTTGCCATGTAATGATGTAACGTAACATATCCACAGGTTCCAGGGATTTCTCTTGGGAGCCATTAACCTGCCTACCCCAACGTTAACCAAAGTTAAACTCTATTGTGCAAGACTGACATTCAATCAGTTGTGCTCAAATCTTATATTTGTTCAGCATCTTTATATGCTTGAAATTTTGTACCTACAATATGACCAGATAAATTGGTAAGCCTTTTTGTAGGATTCTTCCCAACTTTTACTTTAAAAAACAAACAAAAGAATTAATTTGCACTGTGATATTATCCCACAGAGTTCTTTTAAGTAGAAAAAAAATGTTTTCATTAATTTTATTCTCTTCTTACAGACTATTCCAAACAAGCTGATTCTCTTGGCAAAACAGCCCCATCAAGAGTCTCACCAGCCTCTCCCTTGGGAACATAAAGACTCAGACAAGCGGGGGAAAGACAAGGCTACACACCTGTCCCCAATGGAAAAAGGAAGAACACACCTGGAAAGCAGCTCTGACAACAGGAGCCAAGGGGAGGAGAACAGTAATTGGAGGAAAGAGACTGCTTCCAATCTGTTGCTGGTTTATAAGGTAAATCTATTCCTGGTGTAAAAGGGATACAGTAGCAGCACAATAAAAACTGGGACAAGGCGTGGCTCTGCTAGATTGTATCTCCTGCAAGGCTCCACTCTGATGACAGTCCCACCAAGGGCGTTTTTCCAGTCTGACCTGAGCCCAGTGTGGATCAAGCGATCCGCCTGAGATTGCCAAGCATCCTGTGCACATCTATCTCATTGATGCATTCATTCATTCAAACTGAACACCTAACATGCTCTAAAGTCTAAACGCTGGAGATTAAAAAAAAAAAGTAAACAAGGCATAATAGCACTTATTACATGGCATGTATCTGCATGGGGGTTGGCTTTCTGTCTCTGGGAAGGAACCCTACTTCATTTCTGCATCCTCATTGAGTAGCACAGTGCCTGGCGCAAGCTGGGTGCATCATGAACGAAGGAATCCCTTTAAACTGTACGTTTGATACCAGGCTAGATTCTCAAATCTGTAGCCCTGTTGGGGGCGGGAGTGGGGTGTGACGGGCAAGACATCTCTATACGGAATGCACGCAGCAACCCAGTTCCCCTCTGTGGCTGCTAGTACTGTAGTAAGTTAAAGAGTTCGGGAGTCCAGGGAGGGAAGGGGACGGTCTTCCTTCTCCTCTTCCTTCCCGCGTGGAGGGGGCAGAGAGTGGGGGGAGGGGGGCAAGAAAGGGATGCTCAGGAACCCGACTGCCCTCTCGTGCTCGCTCCTCACCAGGTCGATGGCCACCACGTCCCGCAGGTCCACGACTTGTCGGATGGATTTGGGCGGGTTCTCGGTCAGGTAGATGAGCCGGTCGCTGAGGACCAAGTACTTGAAGGCGTGCTTCTCTGAGTCGGACACCACAATGCACGGCTCGTAGGCGCGGATGGCATCGTAGACCTCGGGCGCCAGGTGCCTGCGCAGGAACGCGTCCAGGCGGCTGTTGGTCCGCGCGGGGAAGCCGGACCCCGCGGGGCTGGCCATGCGGGGCGCCCGCGGCCGGGCCGAGCGCCGGGGACAGCGGACGCCTCTGCCCAGCCCTGCCTCGGCGCCGCCCTGGGTGGAACCCGCGCGCGCCACAAAGCGGCCGGCCCCACGGTTGCCACGTGCCCCGTGCCCCTGGCGCAGAGAGTGGGGGCCAGTGGGGGCAACTTTGGAGCTGGATTCCTGAGACTGGTTCCCTGGAGCCCTCCGCCCGGCCCCGCACTCCCCTTCAATCCTCGTCCGAACCTCGGACTCCGACAACAATGGGCGGGGTGAGACGCCAAGGATTTGGAGGCTGCGTGGGCCCTCCGCCCAGCCTCCCAGCTATTGTGGACCACGCCAGTCCTTACAAATTGTATTGAAGCCGCAGTTTTAATCTGGTTTTCTGTTAGAAACTTGAACGAGATGGAACTTAATTTATTTTTTATATAAGCAAAAGCAATCCTAGATCCCCATTGAGACCCATCACAAAGATTTAGCATGTGATTATAGCATTGCTAGCAATAGCTGTCTCATCTTAATGAGTATAAGCGTAGGCCTTCCCTCTTCTCGGAGAGAAGAGAATCCTATCCTAAGTTGATTGGGCGCAGTCAAGGCTCCCTAATGGATATACTTGTGGTCTCAATGCCCAGGACCAGGCCTTGGGGACAGCCAGAGCTCAGTCTGTATAGGATGAATGAATGGGTGAGGCCCGCATCTTGAAAAGATTGAAGCTTATAGGTTTAGGAATGCTGATTGCGCAGCCTTGAGGCTGCAGGGTAGTAAAAGTACTGCTTAGATGGAACAGAACAGGAATACATTATAAATTAGCTTAGAGAGATGAGTGCAGCAGAAACTTGCTCCCAATAATCCTACAATTCCTCCAGCTACCCGCAACCCAGAATCAAATTATATCTTCTTTATTGCAAACTGTCTTCTCCTTTTCCTCCTATACTGTATGTTGTAAGCAATTTCAAATTCTTTATGGAAAGAGAGCATATGTACATTACAGAGTATACTCGGGTTATTGTACACTAAATCGCTACTAAAGGGAACTGAGGAGAAATACTTGGGGCTGGCTGAGCAAGTCTGAGGAACTCAATTGCAGCAAAGAAATAGGAACAGTATTTTTCTTGGAGAGGCTGTGTTTGGTGCGTAAAGAGAACAGTGCCACCTGCTGACAAAATCGTGAATGACCTAGCAGTTAAAGTTTTCTCAGAATCTGATCATCTATCTGACTCTAGACTAGAACTTCATAGCTGGATGAAAAGTGAGCTCCCAGGGCAGGGCTCCTCCCTCTGAAATCAGGACTATTCCCTATCTGAACCACTCTAGACAGAGTTTGTAACCTCAGACCCACAGAAGGCAAAGGCCCTTCACCTTTGCTAAACAGCCACACCTCACAAGAGCTGTTGACAGGGAAATGGCTATGTCAGAGGTGGAATGTGAGGCCCAAGTTTGGGAGACGGCCTCACTCCAAGCTGTTACTGGGTGTCTCTCGGGCTTCCTACTCCAAACCCAGGACCAAGAGAAACAGAATGTCTGGACATTCCAGAAAAGACAGCGTGCCTGATCTATCTGCCAACAAGCCCATTAAAAGTGAGCTTTTGGTGACAAGGGTACCAGGTTTAACAAAAGTTAAGATGAAGCACACGAAGAAGGGATCTAACAAAGGGTTTGATGGCTAATGACCTACCAGTAAGTTAAACGTTTGACTTTGTGGCACAGAGAAGGCAGTGTCGTGGTTTCTAGGCACTCAGTGTTCTGCACTGTTGCCAAAGTAACAGCAAAGTTCAGATTCTAGGAAGGGGATTTAATATAGGAGAAAGATCACTGGATTTGGAGTCAGGAGAACTGGATTAGAGGCCTAACCCTGTTGCTCACCATCTGAGATTTTTGGAAAGTCATTTAAAACGTTGAGCCTCGGTTTTATCATCCTTAAAATGAAACTACTAACATTGCCCTGCAAACCACAGAGTTGGTGTGAGGAGCAAAGGCAACGAATGTCAATCTAAAAGCACTATAGACGGGTAAAGTATCCATAGTCCCTTATCTTTTGGTAAGCTTTATGTGAACAGTGAACATAAATACACCTGAGATGGACACTTACTTCTTATCTTCTAAGTCTATCCAGACTCAAGAAGCATTTGGTACATATCCCATATAATCAAGCACCTAATAGATGTTCTTGATAAAACTATCAAAAGAAATGGAACATTACTTACCTAGAACTAATCCCGAAAGGCACTCTCCCTAACCAGGAGAACCCTCACCGGAAGAACAGAGTAGCCTTAGGTCAATGCAATTCCTTTGAAAGGACAGTGGTTATGAGTAGAGCCAGGTGACCTGGGTTCAAATTCCAGTCCTTACATTCAATAGCCAAATGACCTTGAACAAATAATTTTAACTCTCAGTGCCTCAGTTTCCCCATCTGTAAAATGAAGTAATACTACCAATCCCATACGATTATTATGAGAACAACGTTTCTAAAGTACTTAGAAAAGGTACCTGAGTACAGAGTATAACTGAGTATAAACACTATGTGAGTGTTTTAAAAACAAATTGAACAAGTATATGATTTCCTGGTACATATATAGTCATTTGGTTCCCCATATACAAAGTAATATCAAATTTTTTGTTGCATGCTAGCTTAACTTTTTAAACTTTACTGGTAAATTAAGGCTCAGGACAAAAATCTAATCTACATGCACACACATACAAACAAAAGAATGGTATTTGTACTTTTTTTAAATTTGCGTTTTTGGTAGAGAAGTGACCAGTGGGCCATAGGTCATAAGAACTCTATACAGATTTCAAACTAGAAATACCCTTCAATGGATCTATGGATTCCAAGTGTCCCACCTCTCAACTTGAAACTAAAGACAGACCACATGCATAGAACCATACTTAAAGCTGTAGTAGGTAAATAGAACCTGAGTTTTTAAAGGTGTCTGAATCAGTGTTTCCACTTAGAATTAATGTATACTGGCTATTTAAGTATCTACAATTAGCAATCAACTAATACATGAAGGAGAGATGCCGTCATAATGAAGTTGAAGGAACCATGCAAATGCTTTGGATTTTAAAAAGCTGTTTCTTTTATTAAATAACTAGAGGCCTGATGCATGAAACTCGTGCAAGGGGCTCGGCCCTCACAGCCCTGGCTGCCTCGGCCATCCCTCGCAGCCTCGACCAGCCCTCGCAGCTCCAGCTTCATCTGGAAGGTTGTCCAGATGGTCATTCTGCTGTTCAGTCTAATTAGCACATTAGCTCTTTATTATATAGGACTAGTGGCCCAGTGCATGGATTCGTATACATTGAAAGGAAATTAATTAGAAGAAACATTTTAATATTGCTATTCGCCGTTTCTCTATAATAGGAGTGTCAGAGATGAAAGAAAATTCAGACATATTCTGTCGACAATGTCGCTTTCTTTCAGCTTCAGAATGTCAATAAAAACAACCAAATTCACAATCGACAATGATAGATGGAAACACACATGTGCGATTGGCACCAGCAAGAGCTTTACTAGTATCTGTATCGCGCATGCGTGAGTCGACGTTTATTTTTAAATTGCCAGTGTGCGTCAGATGTACCAGCTGGTCGGTCGGTTGGACAGTCGGATGGATGGATGGTTGGTCGCTTAGCCTTTTATATTTATAGATGGTATAATGCTCTGTCCTGCCTCAGGTTTCCTGCTTCACACCTACTTCCTCTAAGAGAAACTAATGAATGGACTAGAACCAATAAATATGGCTTACCTGACCTACTTTTCAACTTCTTTCTCTGCCAAGAAACCCATAATGAGTGAGCTTTTGATGGAACTAGGCTTAACAAACAATGACGTGAAGCCTAAGAGGAAAATTTCACACAGGACTTAGTAGTTATCAGCTGAAATTATATTATTTTTGGTTCAATTTAATACATTTCACAAATATTTACCCAGACATTATTATCCATAAACAGAATCAGGAAATGACTTATTTTCAGTCTTCAAGACTTGACTAATGGTAAGATAACCACACAAATTTAATACAAAACAAAAACATAGTAAAATATATTAATAACATAAGAATGGTTTAAAAAACAAGCAGGAACTCTCCCTCCAG